CACTAAACATTCTGTCCCTTGAAACAGATATTTGTACTTTGTTCTTGTAGACCAGGTTCAGCAGGAAAGGCTATCACAGTGGACTGTGGTTGTTTTACATGAAGGGGGGTGAGGTTTGGGTCTCTGCCTGGTTTCCTATTTCCTTGCCTTAATTCTCCTTGCATAAGGAGAAATCGACCTCATTCAACAAAAGTGATTAAAACCAACATACATCAACATCTAGGTTATGTCCTATATAGCTGCTAATCTGACCCATTTACATGTCTGGAGTAAAAACACACCTCTTGGCCTGGAACTCTGCAGACATTTCGCATTAATGCGCATTGTGAAGTGTTTTTTACAAGTAGGGAAATGCCAGTGATAGATCAGTAACTGCATGCTGCAAACATATTTCTAGAAAAAAAAACCATAAATCTGAGTCATAAAATGATTATGATGGTATCTTTGACTTTAAAGTGGCCCTATTCATCTGCATGGCCAGACTACCTGATCCTGCAGAAAGCCCATTCAATTACAGACATAACTGAGAATAATAAAGTAGCAGAATGCAAATGAAGATCTATTCTTAGATGTGTTCTCCATCCTCTAGAGAGTGACATGTGCACAGTCACTATGGACAGCAAGGCAATGCTGAAGATTCAGACTTGGAATAAAGGCAGTGTTCAGGGCTGGAGAAAGTGGCCAGGTTCTTACGAACACTTTCTGCATTTGCAGAGGACCTTGATTCCAGTTCCAGGACATCGAGTGCCTCCTCTGGCCCGTGTGGAATCCCGAATGCACATGGTGTACATACATACACTCAGGCACGTGCACAGATACGTAAACCAAAATAACTATGTTTTACAAAACTTTTCCTAGGAACTTACAGACATAACACCAAAATAAGAAGGATGAAGAGCCGATCTGGTTTGCATTTCTGCTGTTGTGATAAAACACTGACCTAATCCAATGTGAGGGGATAAAGGGTTTATTACATCACTGTGTCTCAGAGCATCGTCAAGAAAATCAGAGCAGGAACTCAAGGAAGGAACCTGGAAGCAGGAACTGAAGCAGAGACCAAGGGAAAGCGCAGCTTACCGGCTAGCAATCAGACCCACAATCCATCTCTCTTCCTTGTGCAGCCCAAGCCCAACTGCCTTGGGATGCTACTTCCAACTGTGCCCCCTACATCAATTAATAATCAAGAAAATGCCACACAGACATGCCCACAGGCCAATCTGATGGGGGAAATTCAAGGTCTTAAGTTGAGGGTCCCACTCCCCAGGTCTTTAGTCCCTCAAGAACTGTTTTGTTTCTTCATTTCTCTGCAAAGTCCACATCTCAGAATGGATGATGCTGTGAGCAGTTCAGATCCCCAAAGAAACTCTGAAGTATTAGGGAAGCTTCAAGTCCTTAATATTCATGAGGTGTTTTGCAGTCTGTATCTGCTCAGTACAAGCAGTTCACTAGCTTAAGTATTAGACTGTAAAAATAAAGTAAGGAGCACCCATGCATGCTTGGCGGCATGAAGACTAGAATTTATACAGACATAACTGGGTTTTAGACTTTGCTGTGACCTACATTAGAATATAGTCTCAAACCTGTGTTCTTTCATCAAGTATCTGAAAGTGTTAAGTGAATAATGTCAGTAGCAATGAAAGCTCACTTGCAACACAAACATGCATGTACCCTCAAACCTCATTTTCATAAAATGCATTCTCTAGAACGCTCAGAACTTAGTAAAAAAAAAAGTGTGATATGAAGAGAAAAATCCTGTAAAAGTCAAGCATGAAAAATGACATATATTTGTAAATTGGAGCTTAGAAAATGTCATTTTTATATTGTCTGTAACGTGAAGATTTCAGCACATTTGTCAGATTCTTTAATATGCTAAAGATGCTGTTTTGAATGCTGCCATAAACTACAGGGAAAATTACCCACAACCCTGCTGCCTGATTTATACAATCAAAGGACCTTAAACGGCAAAGTTTACGTTATATATTTATATATGTGTGCATGTAAATATTTGCTTTTTATAAAAAAAACATAAGACTAACTATTTATCATGATGTTTAAAAGCACACCAGAGTACAGATTAGTTTTCTAATATGTTACAAAGCAAGGATTTTTAAAAGTAAATTGGCTGTATTTGGTCTGTACTTGTTATGAATTCAAGACAATTAGAAAAACAAAATAAAACAAAACAAACCATAAGCTAATTAACAGTCCACGTTAGCCTGGAATTTGTAATCCTACTGCTCCATCTCCCTGCATGGTGTAGTCACCGGTATATCCTGTAATGTTCATTTTCAAGACATATAATTATACTAGATGTGATTTAAGGCTTCTTAAAAGGCATAAGTGATCAGAAAAGCTCATTAAGAAATGTTACATAAAATTTTAATTGAATGACTCCTTATGTTATAGAATGGATTTCCAATGGGGGAGAAAATGAAATAATACATCTTAACTGAAAAAAAAGTTAAATATCAGCTAAAAAAAGTCAATGTGTTGCTCCTAAAATATGAATACCCCTAATTTCTAATCCTAACAAAATGCTATAGATCTTCTCCATATTAAGTATATTTATAAACAACTAAAATTGTATTATATGAGTATGCTAGCAATTAGGGATACACAATGTGTTTACTTTTAGCTTACATTTTTAGATAGCCCATCCTTTTAGCCTATCCTTGGCTTTGTAACTGCCAAAAAAACAAGATGGGGGATTTTTTGCATGAATCTGAATCAAGCTCCTGACAATAGGCCTTTGGTGATTGCAATTACAGTAAAATAAGACAATGCTTTCAAAAGGTCAGTTACAAGAACAAAAATCAACAAATAATTTAATCTGTCTTTTATATTTTGTATGAAGATATGTATGACTGTTTCGTAATCAGAGAGATTATTCACTGAAGTAAGGAAATATGCACATATCATTTTCTACCTATAACGAGTTGGTTCATTTACCTTAAACCAAGAGCACTCATTCCTTAAGCTAAAAGCATCTATTGTGAAATCAGTATATCCTACTGACTGGCAAAGTAATTTGCCACTTCTCTACCACTGAGAAATGAATGCAAGGCATCAAGGCATCGCCAACAATAAATTCTGTTGCACTGAGAAATACGGGCATCCATGTTTACCTTTCACTGTGAAGAGGAATTATTTAAAAGAGCTAAGAGTTTTATAGTGTTAACAAATCCTACTGTATCCGCAAATATAAACACAATATAAATATAATCTTCGAGTGCCTCATAACGTCACGGAATATTTACAGTAGACCTTTCTATTGTTGATATAAACTCCATGCTGGGAATTAATGCAGATGAAGGGGAAAAGAAACCCTCCATGTGTTTGGACACTTCCACTAAGGTAGAGAATGGCTGTGGTTCTTTGACAACACAGACTCCCTCTTAAATCCTGAGCTAAGGAAATTAAAATCTCAAGACATGCCGATGAGGGCTTACAGAAATGCAAGTTTTTGCCATTGTCCTTAACTCAAAATTATTGGAATCTATGCCACACTTTTACTAGCAGTAGAATTGTCTATCTTTATCCTTATGTTTCATGCGACGGTGCAATCAGGATAAATAGCAATGCAGTAAGTACGTGCATCAGCCATCCACTGTGAGTTTCTGTCCCTAAGGCTGATTTTACTTCCTAGGAGTGGTTAAAACATACATAGAGAACTTAAATATTGGCTTATCTGCTGAAGTGAAATCTCGGTTAATGCGATAAACTGACGATTTTGAATTCCAGTTCAAGTTTCTGATCTTAAAAAAAAAGAAAGAAAGAAAGAAAGAAAGAAGAAAAAACATGAGCAAGGTCAGTGTAAGTTTGACTTAGCTGTCAGGTGTGGCTCTTAATCTGTCTTAAAATAAGATCCCTGGGTCAAAGCATTGCAGACCCTTTGATCAATATGACACTTGATCCCCCTCCCCCATAGAAAGCAAGAGAAGGAGGCTCTCTGAGCGCATGGGGTTGAGGAAGTAGGCAAAGGATGAAGTTATGGTGTCCTATTTAATTTGAAAAACAACACAACTTTTTGTGCTCTTCCGGAAATTACTTTATAAAACTAACATTCACACCTCTGGAGATCCTGTCCTCAGGTCTTTGCAGCTAAAGGTCGTTGCAGCGCCTTCAATACCTAGGCCTCCGTGGGCAAGCCCATTTCAGGACCTCGGACAGCAGCATCGCCAGTAGCCCTGGGTAGCATATTCCAATTTCCAAGAAACTCTCCTAGACTTCCCCTTTGCTAATTAGCAAGGTCAGAGTCCTTGCTGACTATAATACAAGTTACTAATTATTTCCCCAAATTTTAACTCATAGAAGCAAAGATTTGTCATTTTTACCATTTCGTCAGAGTATGCAAAGAAAAAAAAAAAAAAGCAATTACGTAAGGTAGTATGATTACCAGCCTAACATTGAGAATCGATTGGTAGATAGCTAATAACAGCTTCCCACCTAGGTCAATAACTACACAGATGTCTAAGAGAAAACAGGAGTGTTAAGGAGAACAGGCCTCTAGACTTTCTGAGAAACAAGAGCTACCCCCATAAAACCCATAAGATGCGGATGGACGTTCAGCTGTTTTCCCCCTATAGCAACAGTTACACTTTATCTTGTTCCTGTGGTCAGCCAACTTCAGTTATGTTAGAAGTGGAGGAGTGTTGTAGGCAGGTCCACCCATCGTCTCCATGCCTGTCTCCAGCCCTTCTGACTACTTGTGTGCGGTGCTCCCCTCGCTATCCTCCTAGCAAGCGGTAAGGGAGTTTGAGCCAACCACAGAGCCCGAAGAAGCAGCTAAAAGCTTGGCTTTGGTATCTTAAAAGATGGACTTAAGTCCCTGATAGTCCAAGGACTGAAAGGAACCCACCAGCTATCCCCAACTCTAGCAGGAAGTCAAGTTCTTATAGCCAGACAAACGTGATTAAACTTATAAAACCCTAGTCAGGTAAACACATGAACCAGACAGATGCAAAGCCGCAGAAAAGGGGAAAGGAACTTATTGGCCCTACCTTGCAGTCCTCGGGACATGACTTCACTGAGTACTCATCCGACTGTAAGTACTTATGCAGCACACTTTCAAACTCTTCGTACTTCTCCTGCGCGTGGTGGTCGTAGTCCTGGTAAGCTTCGATGCACTGTCTACACGTGGTCATCTCACCGCCCTCCGTGAGCACCACGTCCAAACTGCAGTTCAAAGTGCTGGGGCTGGACAGCCCCGAGAACAACTCCCAAAGTGTGTAGGAATTACAAAACGAAAGGTAAAAATCCGACAAGTTCCACAACGGAGTTGGCCGAGAGCCCCTGGACGACTGCTCCTCCCCCGCGGCCGCCCCCCGACTCCAGTTCCTGGCGCACACCGAGTCCGCGCTCTCCACGGTGAAGCACTGGCCGGAGGAGGCGCCCTGAGGGTAACAAGTCTCCAGGCGCCACACCGGCTTGGCAGAGTTTCCTAGAAAAAGAGCCTTGCTCCGGTTGTTCTTGCCTCGGTTGCCCTTGCTGCCGCCGCCGCCTCCCGGGGAGGGGGGCAGGGTGGGGGACGAGGAGGCGGAGAGGAGTCTGTGTGCCTGGGTGGCGGGCGAGGACTCCCCCATGCTGGCCAGGAGCACGGGCCAGGAGGGTTCCTGCTGCCGCTGCCTCTGCTGCTGCCGCTGCCGCTGCTGCTGCCGCTGCTGCTGCTGCTGTTGCTGCTGCTGCTGCTGCTGCTGTTGCTGCTGCTGTTGCTGCTGCTGCTGTTGCTGCTGCTGCTGTTGGTGATGCTCTTTGTCCCGGGTCCGGGTCAGCTTGGCCTCGGCGCAGAACCACAAGTGATCAGAGAGCAGGACTGTGAAAAACAAGAGAGAGGCCAGAGACAGTCGCCATTTCTGAGCCCGCTCTGAATCGATGAACGGTTTCTCGTTCTCCCGGGGTGCTGCCAACCAGATTTTTAAGCCGTCGTCATACTGCCGACACATCCAAGCACCCCTGGTCATATTTTGGGAACGCACAGCCCTGGCCGACTCCACCGTGAGGGCTCCTGTGCCAGTGTCACCACAATATGCATTGACTTAAAGGGTTTAATTTCCGTATCCCCTCCTCCCGTTTCTTCTCTCTCTCTCTCTCTCTCTCTCTCTCTCTCTCTCTCTCTCTCTCTTTCTACATAAATATTACCATACTTTAGAGAAAGATATTGCTTCCGATCTAATCATCAGCCGACCCCATCCCCTGGAGAGTGGGAGACAATAAGAGAGAGAGAGAGAGAGAGAGAGAGAGAGAGAGAGAGAGAGAGAGAGAGAGATATTGAGAGAGAGACACGCGGAGGCTGGTGCTGTGCTGGCCGGTGGGGAGGCTGAGTACGAGAGGTGATGGTGGTGGAGGTGGCGGGGTGGCTGGCGCTGCTCCTGTCACCCCGGCATTGTCAGCGCGCGGGTCCCCATGGCCCAGCTGAGGACAGCCCTCTCTCCCCTGCCAGGGGCATGCCGCGTCTCCGCTGCCCACTGACGGCGACCGGAGCGCCTCCCCTCCTCCTCTCCTCCTCCTCCTCTTCTCCTCCTCTTCCTCCTCCTTCCTCTCCGTCGCTGGCTTCTCCTCCGCCTCCCGCGCCTACTTCGCGCTGGCTCTCCCCGCGCCCCGAGGCTGGGCGGCCGCCGGCGAAGATGTCCCTCCCCCCCACCCCCCACCCCGCGCTCCGACTGTCGCCGCTGCCGCTGCAGGTCTGCCCGCGGGCGCCGCCGGGGGCCGAGTCACCTGCGCTGGGCCTCCGGAGGCCACAGTCATCTTCAGTCCCCAGGCTAAGTTGCCGCCATCTTCGTCCTGGAGGCACACTTTTTTGGGGGGAGCGTTGGATTTTGCGTCATCTCCTCCCGCCTTGAGGTCTCTTCATCCTGGTGCAGTGGCGGCGGCTTGGCCCGGGGAGGAGGACGAGGACGCGCCGGGCGGCGGCTTGGGGAGCAGCTATCCACCGCCCCCTCCGGGCCCAGTGCACCGAGGCTCTTGCCCTCGGCTTGCCGACCCTCCCCACTTTTTTATTTCGGTGTCAGGACGCGGGCTGAGTGGCCAACACTGCTGTCCCGGGTGTCCAGCTTCTCAATACCCCGCAGTTCAGGGGACAAGTCCGAGCCACCCACGGGAGGGTGGCTAAGAGGTTCCTGTTGGGGACCAGGGGCGGACACAATTTCCCTCACTAGACAGTCTACAGAAAAGAGTAGGTTGACAAGAGGAGGGACGAGGTGACTTTGCAGGCTCAGTCTGAACGTTCTTTGGGTCCCTAGACAGCTCCACCGCGTTCTTTTGTGTCCCAGATTGGTTTTATGGGTCGGAAAGGACGCGGGGTGCTTGTGTCTGTATGTCTGCCTGCATGGTGCTGTTCCCCAGCACCGCGTGTGCGCTGCAGCTATGACCACACTACACTCCATGTCTGACCATATTTCCTCCTCCAAAGTAAGCGGCGACAAAGGTCTCCCCAGCCCTGGGGAAGCACCACCAGTGCCGTGCGCCCCTCCAGCATAATGCTCAAGGAGTCTCATCTCTGAGGAATTCTCCAGAGGACCCCGAGGACCCTAGGGCACCCGCATACTGTGTCTGCCTCCGGGGCCCGCCGGGTGGGCTCCTCTGTGCCAGGACTTCCGCAGCGCCCTCCAGACTGGCGCTGCAGTCCAAGGCTCTGGTGCCCCTTAGTGTTGACTCTAGGAGTTCCAAGAAAGGAAAAGCAGCAGACACATGCTGAGGAAACCTGGGGTCCTCTTTGGTTTCCGGTCCGACTGAGTGGGGATGTCAGGATCAAACATCAGCCCCCTGAAGTCAGGACAGCTCTTGTACCCCGCTTGGGTCCCCAGCAACGCCAAGACTACCAGGCCAGAGGATGTCAGGCGCCCTGACAGCCAGGGTTTGCACACGTGGCAGCCACCATGTGGGTCTCTCTCTCCTCCTGCATCCCTAGGCCAATGCACATTGGAAAGAGCCATACGAGGTGTCCTGAATTCTAAACAAGTGCCCTAAGAAACCAAGAGGAGGGTTCTACAGAATTTATTTTCCTATCAGAGGAGGTGTGGGTGCTGGGAACACTGAAGGAATGGAGATTTGTCAAACGGGAAGTTGCAAAACGCAAAGGGCAGGGTTCATTCCTTTCACAGTAGAGGAAGGTATAACCATCCCAGTTTTCCATATTCACATTAGGTTCTGTAAGACTATATATTATGGCCACGAAGAAATTAGGTCTAGTTTAATAACTGGTTTATGTGAAATGCCAGGTGAGGGTTTAACAGGTCATTTGAGTACATTCTAGTACTTTGGGTTTCTTTTTGTTGAATTTTTGATTAATGACAAAAATTCTCCCCAAACACATTTCCAATAAAATATTGTGATTTAGCCAGTCCATCAGGAAGCCCCTCAGCCACAGTACCTTATACAATATAAGTAAACCCATGTAGGCATTGTACGCAACCTCAATCATTTTATCAGTATGGGGGGCCTTATAGGAAATCACTAGAAGTTAATGGAAATTAGACCATCATAACCAAGCCAGGCACAGTGTCACAAGCCTGTACTTTACCCTATTGCATAGCCTGAAGCAGGGATAATTCTTGGGCCCGGGAGTCCCTACCAACAAGAAACAAGAGAAAGCTGTCAAAACTGGCCCAAGTGATTCCAAAGGCATCTATAATTGCTGTCTGCTGTCTCCACTATTTCCTTTTCATGTTTATACTATACCATAAAGGCTCTGTTTCAAGGTACTTACTAACTTGGTATATTAGAATGTCAACATATAGAATCCACAACCATATTTATTAGTTAATAAGCATCCCTTTCCTCAAAGCCTGCACCTCTCTCCCCTCCCATGCCACATTGCTAATTTGAGTCCAGAAGCACAGATTTTAGTGGTGTTTTAAATGAGTAGCTTGTCTCTCACTGTAAGCTGTAGATTCAATCTGAAGACGAAGTACAGGTGGGAGAGAGAGAAAAACACAATAAGTGGAATTAAAAGCCTACACTTAGCCAACAAGGAAAAGAAGCGGTTTCAGTGATTTTAACGCCATTATTATGCAGATGTAGCTGAATTACATCTCGGGAAAATAATCCTGTGATGTTTACACTAAGTTAAAACAATAATGATTCAACCAGATCCTGAGATAGATGGGATCTCATTCTTTGTTTCCAAAATAAGCTGCCTTTCTCTTCTCTAACACATCTCATGGATTAAAATATTTAAAGTAAGACAATTTCAGGATGGAAGCTCACAGGAGTAAGTCACCTCCTCATGGAAGCATCAGGAGTAAGTCACCTCCTCATGGAAGTGCACAAGAGTAAGTCACCTCCTCATGGAAACACACAAGAGTAAGACACCTCCTGATGGAAGAGAGCAGGAAGAAGTCACCTCCTCTTTTGCTTGCCGAAGATGTTTCTGGAGTGAGTGATAGGAAGTCTGGGAGACTGGCTTCCTCCTGAACAAGCCACCGAGTGCAGAAAAGCCAGCAGCACAGGGACAGGCAATGAAGAACATAATGGCTGAGTGCTATTTGAAGCATTGGAGCACTCCAGGGTCAGTAAGCGGATCTCGAGAGTGACCAGGGTAGACTGTCCTGGTCACATGAGCTGGAATCCAGAGGGGTTCCTTCAGAAGGTGGAAAACTCATTTTAAAGAATGGCAATGTTAAAAAAAAAAAAAAACACCAATAACTTGAACTTAGGGAGGAAAGACTGATGCATAAGCCATAGTATGTTCATGAGTAGGAGGAAGAGCAGGAAACCAGAGAGGGCTAGGGTATGAGTCACACTGTGTAGGAAGAAGGGCCCTGTGGCTTCTCCATCAGTTAGGATTTCAGCTTGCTGAGGAGACAGAGATGGGGATTTGAATATTCTTCCTCATTAACTGCACTGTGTGCTAAAATCAAAACAAGAGATGGGCTCAAAGAATATGCTAGCCAGATGAGTATATGTGGATCCTTGTTGGGCAAACAGCTAAACTACGGCACCCTGGGACAGAAAAGCCAGTGGCTTGTCTAGGCGTGAGGTTCATTTCTCAGAAGTGGGCTGTGGAGTCTAGAAACTCCTGCGTAGGTTTTACCTCCGAGAGTGACTAACGGTTCAGAGGAGTTTCATCACACCGGTGTGTTTGAGAAGCTGTCTAGGAGCCGAGGGTGGCAGGCGCGTCACAGGGAGGAGCTCAGGCCCCAGGTGAACTTTGTACACCTCTTCTGTTTTTCTGTTACGAAGATAAAGGATACATTCTAAAACGTTTATCTTTCCTCCCACAGTGGAAGCACATTAATACGTTCACTGCAAGAGAGTGGCAAAAAATAAAAACTCAACAAAACAACAACAAAAATCCTCTAGTGAAATCCATATCAGGCAGATGCTTTCTTTGGCCATGCTGAATTATTCTAGATGTCACAAACAGGTGTATACCGTCTGTCTCTTCTATGCAGTTTGTGTCGTGTGTAAGTGACAACTGATTCCTGTTACATGCATGGTGTTCCCAAAAAGATATGTGTTTTCAGCATTCAGATGCGTGTAAAGACAATCTTCACCAGCCTGACTACTTAAAAACACATTGAATTAACTTATATGTGTCTGTGTTGGGGTGGGGGTACATGTGACAGTTTGGACAGTCAGAGAGACAGCTTGTGGGAGTCAGCTCTCTCCTTCCATCACTTGGGTCTGGAGATCAAACTCACATTATCCGGCTTGGTGGCAAGCACCCTGACCTGATGAGCCACCTGGGCAACTGTCCTACTTAGGGTTTCGGTTGCTGCGATGAAACCATGACCCAAAGCATGTCAGGAGGAACTGGGTATGTTTGGTTTAAACTTCCACATTGTGGTCCACCATTGAAAGATGTCGGGACAAAAACTCAAGGCAGAAAACCTGGAGGCAGGAACTGATACAGAGACCCTGGAGGTTTGCTTACTGGTTTGCTCCTCATAGCTTGCTCAGTCTGGTTTTTATGGAACCCAGGACCATCAGCCCAGGGACAGCACCACCTAAAATAGACTGGCCCCTCTCCCATCAATCACTAATTAAGAAAATTCCCTCTAGCTGAATCTTATGGAGGTATTTTCTCAATTTCAGTTCCTTTTTTCAGATAAATCTAGCTTATGTCAAGTTGACATAAAACCAGTCAGCACAACTCCCCAGAATGTTTACATTTTTAAAA